AAAATTTCAAAGGAGGGGAGCTGCTTTTGGGCTTAATTTGAACCCTTTCTTCCCTTTCTTGCAAGGGAATTGTTCCCTGTTTATCTCAGAAAACACCCTCCATTTTGAAATGCTCCGTCTTCTCTAAATAAAAACTCAGGTTGTTTCCCTGACTTTGCTTTGCTTTTTCTAAGCAAAACATTGTCAGAAAAGGCAAGTTCTCACAGCCAGTTTCCATCTCAACAATAAGAGCATTTTCCCAGGCTAAATTGCTTCTGTCTGAAAATCTTCTAGCAGTTTGAGCTGGCTGGCATGTGTGGGGATCCTTCTGTAGGGTTTTTTAAATCCTTATTTGCAATATTATTTCGTCTGCTTTGCGCTGCCTTGATGTTCGAGCAGCCTTTGGAGAGACACAACCACTCCTCCCTCCTCCTCCTCTGTCCTCCCTCCTGGCACACGCTTTCCTTTGAGGAGGAGGACAGGGGAGAAATAAAATAAAAGACAAGCAAAGAGGAAAATGTCAGAAAGCTGCTTTTTGTGTGTGTGTCAAACGTTCAAAGTTATTCCAGAGTCTAGTCTTTAAATGTAATAAAATACAGCAACTCCTGACAAAATCAATTAAAATAAAACCACCCAGGCTGCCTCCCCTATCGCTTTGTAGCTATACTGACTTTGAGAGCCCACCTGGGCCTTTTAGGAAGCAATTATGGAACTGCCGGGTTGGATCCTGCACCAGCAGCGTGCTCGCTCTGCTGAGCATCCCTCCGCACCGCGGGCCAGAGGGAGGAGAGACCCAGCTCCTTCGCCCGCAAAGGGAGGCGATGACGGGGAGACGCGCTGGGCATCCGAGCCAGAGAACAGGATTAATTAGAGCCCAATTAGGTTACCGAGCTCCCAGGGAAGGTCCCCGCAATACCCAGCACTTCACCGGCAGTGATTTGAGGTGTCCCCGGCTTTGGTTACCACCGGCAGCCCAGCTCAGCGGAGAGGAGCCCGACCGGCGGGCAGGGACCCCCTCGGCATCCCCGCCACACTCGGTTAAGCCCCTTGCCAGGGGCCCCCGCCCCTTGCTGTCTCACCGCCTCCCGCAGCGGGGTCGTGGGATATTTATAGCAAGAATGATTCGGTGATTTCAGGCAGCTGAGCGCCTCGGGGGAATACCCTGCTCGCACACAGTCCCCCCCCCCGAAAGGCACCGGGATGCTCGTAGGAACGAGCACCCTGTGCAAGAGGCAGGACCAAAGAACATCCCAAAGCCCAAGGCCCTGCCCCGCGGCACCCACAGCTCCGCTGTTTGTTTTCCTAACCATCCTTGAAAAAAAAAAAATTAAAAAAAAAAAAATTCAGCCGGGTGGCAGGGCTCTGGCTTATGGGAATCCACCCCTGCTCCCAGAAAACAATACTCCAACAAAAAGGTTTTTAACCCGTTTCTTAATAAATATTTATTTTCGCCTTCAAGATGTGGGTGGGACGAAGCCAGGGTGTATTTTCCAGTGAAATGTTTTGATTCTCTCCTTGATTTTTTTTTCAACAGGAGCAAAATGCCAATAATAATATTTGCAATGAATAACTAAAATTCCGTGGCTTTCTCCCCCGCTCTCTTTTAAATAAATAAAATGCCCTAAATACAAGAAATACAAACGCTCTCTCCAACACAGCAGGACGACGTGGAGTAAACTCAGGGACTCTCAGAGGATTTATTTAACTGTCACAGCCCAGATTCTGAAATAGGCAAAAATTCCTTCCCGGCTTGTTTTGCATACGTCAACTGGGAGAGGTCGAGCCCTACACTATGCTTCAGCAAGAGAGACCAGGACATGCTCTCTGACTTTCCCTCTTGCCCCTAGGCCCCTCTCCGGTGCTGCACCGGCAGCCCCACAGGGCCGGCCAGCATCTTCCAGATGTGGGGCAGAGGATTCCTCCTTCCTCAGAGGGATGCTCAGGCAAGCTGTGATACTTTCTGCATCTTTCATAATTTTTCCTCCCTATGGATTTTCCCCACCAGCTGTAAATTTTTGAAGCTAAAAGCAGCAGAATTGAGGATCATGCTGAGGTCTCAACCCAGACGTGGGCTCCTACCAGTCTGCCTTGGGTTTTGCACAGCATCCAGGCTCATCCCGGCCACGTGCCCGATGGCAAGGCCAGGGATGCGGGATGAAGATGTCTCATGGATGCTCACACTCCCACGCTCTCTCCCACCTGAAGCAGCCCCCGTGCTCCGGGTTGCTCCCACCCAACCTGACACGGGGGGTTGTTTTGCTGTTTTCCTCGGAGGCGTTCCCGCTCCGGCCTCGGCAGGGCCGTGCATGGCCAGTTCTCACCCCACATCCTGAGCAGCTGCAGCCGGCCCTGGCACGGCCACGCGGCTGGGAAGACAAACTCGCAGAGGTTGCAACCCGGTGAACTGACCTCCGGGAGGGACGCACCGGCCTCGGACACCCATTAACTGTTTCTTCCCGCCATGAGGCTGAGCCTCGAGGGAGGGCTCCCCAAGCTCACCATCCCCCTTTTGCTCCCCAGGAGCTACCACCTTCTTAGGGGAACGGGCAAAGAAGAAAATGAAGCAATAAAAGGATTGCAACGGTCAGAGCCTTGGGAACAAGCAGCTACCCGAAGAACCAAGTTCCTTGGTTTGCACATCAGTCCCCAACCTGGCCCCGTGCCAAGCCTGACCTCGGCACGCGCACCCCACCAGGCTGGAGATGTGGATCCCCCCCAGCCTCGCGGGCACTTGCGTGACGGCTTTTTCTTGATCTTCCTCCTCCCAGAGACTCAGCACAGCACAGCCCCCCCCAGAAGAACAAAAGCAAGACATCCCCGATCATCCAAAACCTGGTAAAGGGAGATCTGTAGCCCCAGACAGCTTCTAAGGCAGCATCTGCTGGACCCCGAGGCGTTTATGAGCCTCACCCAGGGCTGTGGTGGTACCTGCGCCATGCGGGAAGGCTGCACGCAGGCAGACACAGGGCAGGCGCAGGCAGCCCCGCTGCCCACAGACCCCACCGTCAGGCTGCAGGTTGTCCTGGGAGCAAGACAGCAGACGGAGCCGCAGGGCGATGGCGTCCAGCCCGGGAGATGCCCAGGGACGCGCTGTCCTCATGGGGAGCTTCTGCCCGGCATCTGCCAGCAGCTCCCAAGAGGAGCAGGAAAATGAGATACTATTATTAAAAGTGCCCAGCACTGGCCATGCTTCCACCCATGACATCAGCAGGGTTATCTGAGTCTAACCGCGACTTGGCCAGGAACCTCCACTGGGTTAGCCTTTTTAGGCCAAACTGAGCTGAGATTTTGATGGGGCCACACAGTAACGGAGCCCGATTTTGGCCCCCAGTTGCTCCTGTTCTCCAGCTCAGGCCCACACTGGTGTGCAGGGAAACAAACTCCACAAGCTTGGCTATTTTTTTCCCCTCGGCTTGCAAATGCCAGCTCCCAGTAACGACATGGGATGGGGTTGGCAAAAACACCCTGGCACGCTGCAAAATCGGGACCCGGTGGGTTTTGGACCAGCCCACCTCCAAAAAGCACCGAGGCCCCGCAGCCCCCCGGCTCCGCTCTGGTTTCACTGGGAAGGTCTCTGCTCGCACTCGAGGCTCCCCTCGCTCCTACAAACTCCTCACATGCTTTCAGGCTCAACCTGCCTCCCGTGCTTAGAGAGGGACCAAGATCTCCCCCTCCAAAACCTGCAGAACCCACTGCCCTTACAACCAAAGCTGATTTTTCCAGTAATCGGTGACCAAAGGCCAGCGGATAAAGTTTAGGAGTCGCTTCTGCAGCAGACGCAAACCCAGACCACGCACCCTAAACAGCTCCCGCGGGCAGCTGAATTTTCCCCTAAGCCAGCGATGCGAAGTTATAACCCCTACCCAGCACCGCTGCCCTGGGGTGACTGCCTTGTTTTTCCTCTGGATGCTCCCGGCGTGCTGAACAGCATGTTGCAAAGACCCACCCTCTCCCCGCCATAGGCACACATACATTTATAAATGAGCAGATAAATCAGTTGTTGTTTTTCATTTGCACCAGTGTGAAAATCCTTACCCGAGCCAGCAGCAAGGTGACACACGCTCCCCCTCTCCTCCCCCATCAAAGTCAACATGACTAATAACACAACGTATTATTTAGCATCTACAGCGTAACAGGAGAGCTCCGGCCTGAAAGAAAATGCAAGCATATACATAGGGGCCTGATCCTGCCCGTATCAACAGAGGTTTGGACTGTCTTCCACAAGAGCATCAAAGGAAATGCAAATACTTTAAACGGCCACCTCTAAGATTAAACCCCTTTTGTGTGGCAAGAGATAGGCACTTTCTGCTTCGGTGGGTGTGTTTGCGATGATCCCCGACACCTGCATTTCATCCACCCAACAGGAGCGGGTTTGACTTTGAAAGCAGGACCCGCTCCTGGGGGACACTGCAGGTGAGATGCTTTTAGCCCAAACAGCAACTCTGGGCAAGTCAACCCAGCAGCATTTCCCATCTCACAGCTGAATCAACGAGGAGCACTCTAAAATCATGATTTTGGAGGAAAGCAGATGCCAGCTGAAGACCTGCCAGCCCACGGGGCCAGGCTCTCCCTGCCAAAGCCCCCAGACCACAGCAGTCCTGGAAACCCTGCCGGGGGGGCAGGGCTAGCTGGGGACCTTGTGATGTTGTTTATATTTATTCGCTCTTAGGAAGGAACAACCGAAATTGCAATTCTTAAACAAAAAAAACCCAAAAAACATAAAAAAAGAAAGAAACGAAACACACCGCCACAGGCTAGCAGAGGTTGAGCACAGATTTAAAGCCCAGAGAAGCCGGAGTGGATGTTCTCACTGGCCGTGGGCTTGCTCGGCCAGAGGCTGGGAGCCCACGCGCCGCCGCGCTGAGCGGTGACAGGGATGGCAGGATTCATCTTTCTTCCCCCTCGCCTGGACTTGGCGCCGGGCTACTTCGCTAAAACTTTTCTTCCCCCCCACCCTGAACACTGAGCTCTGCAATATCACTTCTCCTGAAACCGAGACGCGAGGAGGCATTCACCCTTACAAGCCAGGACTTGACTCAGTCACCGAAACGATGGCAAACTCCAGCTGGAAATGGGTTTTAAAATGTAACTAAAAAAAAGAGAGGAAAGAAAAAAAAAAAAAAAGG